ACAACCCCGTTGGTAAGACCAAGGTGAGGCCTTGGCCATGCGGGATACTCCTACTGGCCGGACACTCGTTGTAAGACCTTAGATAAGGCGTTCGGTATATAGTTCGGCAGTAGTCTATTGCTATAGGTGTGCACATGAGTCTATTATTGATATGATTGATAAGAGATTTGGATAATTGATTGTTTTGTATACATGCTGCGACCATACATGTGTTGTTATGAATATTGTTATTATATGTTGAATAATGTTTACTGCATAGTGGTGAGCACTACTTTTTCCAACTGTGCTCATCCCCACCTGAAATTCACGTTTCAGGTTAAGCAAGGCAGGTACGACGGCGGAGTAGAGCGAGTGGTGGTCGGTCCATAAGACCGGTTAATTATTGTTATGCTTCCGCTATTTGTACCACTTATGAATTTTATGACTCATATCATGATTTATGAACTTGGGATATTATGGAATTTATGATTTATGGATTTAAGGAATTTTGGATATTATTCATGATTGGAAAAATATGGAGGAGAATGCTCCTTAAGTACCATGATGATGGTTGGAACCCTGTTTGGGTTTATGATGAAAATTTGGGAATCCCTGTTTGGAAGTTTGATGATTGGTAAATGTTGAAATGATTTTGAAATGAATGAGTAACGCTTTAAATGTATGAATTAAATTTTGAAGAATTTATTCTGATTGTCGGCAAATAAAAGTGGGGCGTTACAGTTTGGTATCAGAGCCAGTCTGCGTTTCTGTAGACTGGTATACGTGAATTATGTGAAGTACTTGTATTATTGATGTAGTATATGACCACTCGCTTCCGTCGTGCCTCGCCAACTCAGGTATGAGTTTCATAAAATTTTGAATTGATTATGAGTTACTTGATTTATGAGATAATATGATGAGATGTAAACCGGGGCTTAGGAATTTATCCTCCTAGTTTTAAACGTTCTGGAACTCTAGATGAGTGGTGAACCTTAATTGTATGAACATGAACTCTAGCGATATAGAGTTAAGTTCTAATTTGAGGTTTTGTTTGTTTAGAAATTCGATATGATATTATCGAGCTGAGTTTTGTGTATAACAGTCCTCTCGATGTATTTTGGTGTCTTCGGAACAGGACCATTCGCGAGCCATCTCGAAAGGAGAAGGGTTAAACGAAGGGAGCAGACAACCGAAGAAGTCTCAGGTGTGGGATATTCGGAGGTCTGTAACCATGGTTATTAAGACCATCAGATGATTATTTGACCCCAGTCGAGTGCGAACTGAGAGTAGAGTCGGGGTGCCTTGTGCATACTTAATGTCCGACCCCGAGGAGTGTTGTGGGAAACTTAATGCGTAACACTGTTGCGACTCTCGAGAGTGGTTAGGCCTCGAGAAAGACGATAGTGACCTATTCTTTTGCGAAATTCTCTCAGCGAAGGAATCCGACCTTGTCCTTAAGGCGGATAGACCGATCCAGCACCGCGTGTATATTTTATTCCGCGATTTTGAGTGACATTCCTGTCTTGAAGGAGACGTAAAAAAAAAAAAAGAAAAAATTCTTTTTCGTATTTTGCGCCGTGAGCGATTTCCTAGCGACAACGGGACTTACCAAGAACAGCTTGAACCGATGATGAAGACAGTGAATCGGTTGACTCGTGAAGACGAAGCAGTCGTGCTGCCTTTCTTAAATTCTTGTCTTCTTGTATACTCTTGCACACCTTTTTCCCATTCACGTGGCAAACAATTTTGAAGTGTGCTTGAGGCTTCTTCTTGTTATCCAATTTTTGTATTTTCAGGATTTCGCTTGATCTTCCCCTAATTTTGATTCGCAGTGTAAACTATTTTAAGCTTCCCAACTTTAAATTTACTTTTCTTGAAGTTTAGCTAATTCTGGTTTATCTCATGTTGGGAAATGACTTTGTTTTGGAAAACCTGATTTCAAGTGAGATTAAGCCTCTCTTTGTTTTTGCTTATCTTTATTCTCTTGCGAAGTTTGAGAGTTTCGTTCGAATGCCGTCGCTAAATATCACGAAGACTCGAAGACAAAATTTTTCTATCGCCACTTTTTTTGAATAACCTAACCTCGGGGGGACATTAATTATTCACGCTTGGCATCGAGATAAACGCACAGGAGCTGAAGCCAGCACAATTCGGTTCGATAAGAAGATGAAGTGTTTTTCCTCCTTAAAAGATTATGCAGAAGTCTTTTAAGGAGGATAGTCGAGTCAGAAGCAAGCATATCGCGTAGTGCAGAACTGTTCTCATTCTAAATTTTGTTCATCATAGAAATTGTTGGTTCTTTTACTCCTTTCGGAATCCCGGGAGGAACTTCGCGTTCAAATTCCAAAGTGTGAAGATTGGGAAGTGAGTTGCGCTCGTTTAGGACTGCTGACCCGATTAGTTACCCGAGGAAGAGCTGACGTGTCGGCCAACGCTGTTAGTCGGAAGAGCCGAAGCGAGCTAACTATTTAATGACTCGGCAGAAGCCACTGACTTAGAGAAAATCGCCATGAGAGTTCTTTTGAGATTTCGCGTATCGTTAGATCTGTGGCATATTGCGTTTTATTGTAGGAAGTTGGTGGACTTGGAACTCGAGCTTTCACCTTGCTATTTTTGAGACCTTTTGAAACTTTGAAATTTGTGAAATGCCTGATACATAAATTGTTTTGTTGATCCCAAAATTTTCGAAATTCGGTAAAACCATTCCTTTTTTTGTAGCCTTGAATTGTAATTTCTTGTGGAAACCTGGACCAAACCCTGACCCTGGCTGGGTGTAGCCACGCGAAGTGGTGGCCGAGCACGCACGACCATGCTGAGAGACGGGAGGCTTGCGCGCGGCCGACCGTTGACTCGCATGCGAACTGCAGCTGCCATCACCGTACGCACGAACTCCCCAGACCAACGTATACGGCCAGCCATCGATGTTTTATTGAACTGTTGAAACCGTTTCATGCCGAAATACTTGGTTATCCTTTTTGAACCTCCTTTCGTTCGAACTTTGAACCGAGAGCTCCAAGTCCCACTAAATGTGTGTAAATCCTTAATCGATGATTTTTTTATTAAGGAGTGTAGTCGATGAGTCCCTATGCTTTACTTGAGAGTTTCTCGAGTCGGAAAAATTGGGAATGTCGTGTTGATTTGGTTCAAGCCTTATGTTTGTGCATAAGGGTTGCGTTCGACTCGTGGAGTCGATATCACGAGAATGTGAGTTTGATGGTGTCATGTTTTATTGTATGTGGTACCATGTTGTGGTCTCAGATTGAGAAGCACAGTCTGTGAAGGAATCATGAGTAAGTTATCAGTGTGACTCGGTCACGAGACTGAAACTTGGCGTCACGTGACCACCTTGATGGTGGGGTAGTCGGAGTACGCTGACAATACACCGAACGACCTGTTGAGGCCTTGTGTGTTGTTAGGTACGAAGCAAATCGTTGATACTCATGAGTATATGCTAACCCGAACTGGGTCCGTTGCAGGAGGATGTATGCCTAAGCTTGGGCAGGACTGATCACCCTCCCAAGCAAGAAGGTAAACATATGAGCATAGGGCGAGTCGGATTAGTTCATGTATGTGAGTACATGCTTTTTGGGTATTAAGCGATAGGACTCATGGGAACAAATCGAGTTCTGGAGGGTGATGCCCGGACCTCGTGATTGGAAATTTCCCGTTCGAGTCTATCGTTTCCTTTTTGATGTGTGTTCTTTCGCATTTCCGAGGACGGAAATATTTTAAGGAGGATAGATTGTAACACCCCGTTCGTTTATTAGAATTTCCCCGTTCGTTTATTAGGATTTCAGAATATTATACTATTATTTAATTGCTTTTATTTGATTTATTCATTTGTTTATGTTCTTGCCCGATTATAGTTATAAACTGCTCGCCTTTGCTTGTATTGAAAATGTCTGCTTATTTTAGAATTGCTAAGTGACTTTATGTCTGTGAGATGTGTTTATTTATTATTTATATGTATTAGAATTATTAAGATTTATTTGGTTTAGTATTTAATTGTTTCGGCGATTTTCGGTTTAATCGCGTTAAACCGATTCTAATCCATTTGAACTGTTTTTGAGCCATTTAAATCCGAACCTTAAGTTTATTCATTTGGCCCAATTGAGTTCCATTTCCGACCTTGCAAACTGTTAAATGGTTCAGCCCAATTTGGTTTAACTTCTAGACCAATTGAAGTTTTTAATTTTTCAGCCCTTTTTGGAATTTAGTAATCGGCCCAAATACATTAATTTTGTTAGCCCAACAGATTTTGTTAAAAACTCACGCAAGTCAAACCCTCAGCAGTCCCCCCTCATTGTCTTCCTCACGCAATGGATCTGGGATTTGTACCTTGAAATCTCCGCATAAAATTCACAGATCAGCTCTCAATTCATAACTCTCTCTCTCTCTCTCTCGATTTTTGCTTCCGCCACGTACGTCTGAGCCGCTGCAGACGCCTCATAGCGGCCCTCAGTCGCTCCCAGCCGTCAACCGCCGTCCTCGAGAGCTTCCTCGACAGACCGCTGAGCTGCTCGCGAGAAACCGTTCGTCGCCGATTCACCCCAGCAACAGATCGTCATCGCTGTCCTGTTCGCGAGCAGTACCAATCGAGGAGTTTCGGGCTCTCGAGTTTTCGATCCGTCCTCAGTCCACGCGAGTTTCTGGTGACCGGAAATCCATCCCCGTCGCGGCCTTCAATCCCTCGTCGGCTAACGTCCATAGCAGCACGAGAAACGGGAGTTACAAACAGCTGAGCTCTGTTCGAATTTCAGAAGTCGTCGAGGATTTCCCCTCCATCGACGGCGTGTTCCTTTCTTCCTCGCGGCCGTCGTTCGCCGGCAATACCCACCGCCGTCGAGTGGCGGTTGTTTCCCGACAAGTCTCCCCGCCGCTGGAGGTTTCACGTGAACCAGTGAGCCGTTTTTCTTAGCCCTCGCTATCCGTTCTTGTGCATCGAACCAGGAGGAGCAACCACCTCGCATTGCCATATTCTCCGAACAGCAGGCCATCCCTTGCCGCGAACGAGCACTACCTCAGTTTTCCCTCCACGCGAGTAACAGCCGAGAACGCCCCGCGAGAAGACGAACGAGGAGCCGTGCGCGAGCAGTGGCAGCAGCGAGTATATACCGAGCGGGTTCCGAACCCTCCGGTTGGTAGGGACGAGTCACAGCTGAGGCGCATTCGCACCGGGCTGCAGTAAACCGAGCCTTTTGGAGTGCCGAGAGCCAACCGAGCCTCCCTTTTGGTTTCGTTTCCTTCCTGTTCACCGAGAAAGGTAGATGGCTGCCCCTTTTACCCTTAAAATTAGCCGAGTTTATGTGTTATTACATGCCTTCTTTCGGTTTTGAATTGGGAGTTAAAAAGCATGATAGATTATATAAAAGTTTGAAGGAAAAAGAGAAAGATAAGGATGTATGTTGAGATGTATTTTGATATCATTTTGCTGTGACTTGGTGGCACCTTTCATGCATATTATATACAGCTATATGTGATTTATTAGTGTGTATTTGTGTGGAGGTGGAATATTTAGATATGTGATTGTGAATTTTGGAGCCATGTAGTGCAGACAGTGTTTTATGCAAAGCTTTGCTTTAAAAATTTCATGGGCATCTTAAAGATTAAATTTTTATGTGTTATGTTGATAGTTGGTATTTGCGTTTTCTTATTCCCATCAACATGAAGACCATATACATTTGTATATTCAGTGATCTGTTTACTGTTAAAACTTTGATTTGTACCATATACATTTGTATATTCAGTGATCTGTTTACTGTTAGAACTTTGATTTGTACAGGTTTGGTTAATGGTGATATGAGTGAACTTCTGTATCATCTATGAGCATATTTGATTAATTGAGAATGACACGAGATGCATAAGAGTGCTTTGGAACAACTTTTTGTCATTTCATTTTTTTATGTCTATGCACGAGAAAAAAAAAAAAAAGAAGAAAAACTCTAATTGCCCTTGGACTTGTTTAAATTACTTGTGTGTTGATAAATACTTAATTGATTGTTGGACTTTGTAGAGTTCTGTACAAATAAGATGTTGCAGCTATGTCAAACCTTAGGATTTTAGGGTGCTCATGCGTAATTGCTCATGTGAATTATGTAGTATGATCTTTCATGTTGATGTGGAAATGGTGAATCTAATAAATTCATGAACAACATATTTTGGATATTTACTACATAGTGGTAAATCACTTAATAATGTATTTTCTTTAAAGAGTTAAGATAAAGAGATAGAAAATTATGTGACATTATTTGCTTATTTTGACTGAATTATCTGATTTGTATCTGCTTAACTTGATCTCATTTTGTGCTCTTATCTGATATGTGTACCCGACGTGTTTTAATGTGTTGATCTACATTTTCGATCAAAACCCTTAATAATAATTAAACCCTAATTTGTAGATTAAGAGGAGTCGAACCCTCGCCCTTGTCTGCTCGTGCATTCACCATTGTCCTTTTGCAGTATCAGGTGGGTTTTATTTAAAAATTGTCTATGCTGTAAATGTTATTACTGTTTTTAAATTTTTGGTATGATCAAGTATGCATGTGGAACATGTAGCCTTCGATGTGAGCTGTACCGGCCATCGAATGGTTATCCCCGTATCTATAGAACGTACCCGTTGGGTAGTCTCCTTATTATTTTGAGCCGTAAGTCCTGGGTTAAAGGTCCCTGTGCTGGACACATTTTGAGCCGTAAGTCCTGGGTTAAAGGTCCCTGTGCTGGACACATTTTGAGCCGTAAGTCCTGGGTTAAAGGTCCCTGTGCTGGACACATATTGAGCCGTAAGACCTGGGTTAAAGGTCCCTGTGCTGGACAACCCCGTTGGTAAGACCAAGGTGAGGCCTTGGCCATGCGGGATACTCCTACTGGCCGGACACTCGTTGTAAGACCTTAGATAAGGCGTTCGGTATATAGTTCGGCAGTAGTCTATTGCTATAGGTGTGCACATGAGTCTATTATTGATATGATTGATAGGAGATTTGGATAATTGATTGTTTTGTATACATGCTGCGACCATACATGTGTTGTTATGAATATTGTTATTATATGTTGAATAATGTTTACTGCATAGTGGTGAGCACTACTTTTTCCAACTGTGCTCATCCCCACCTAAAATTCACATTTCAGGTTAAGCAAGGCAGGTACGACGGCGGAGTAGAGTGAGTGGTGGTCGGTCCATAAGACCGGTTAATTATTGTTATGCTTCCGCTATTTGTATCACTTATGAATTTTATGACTCATATCATGATTTATGAACTTGGGATATTATGGAATTTATGATTTATGGATTTAAGGAATTTTGGATATTATTCATGATTGGAAAAATATGGAGGAGAATGCTCCTTAAGTACCATGATGATGGTTGGAACCCTGTTTGGGTTTATGATGAAAATTTGGGAATCCCTGTTTGGAAGTTTGATGATTGGTAAATATTGAAATGATTTTGAAATGAATGAGTAACGCTTTAAATGTATGAATTAAATTTTGAAGAATTTATTCTATTGTCGGTAAATAAAAGTGGGGCGTTACAGTTTGGTATCAGAGCCAGTCTGCGTTTCTGTAGACTGGTGTACGTGAATTATGTGAAGTACTTGTATTATCAGAGACATCGAACAATTTTTCGCTTTTGCCTCTATTTACTACAATTTTCCATGACTATTTTAAATGTATACGATTTTGCTTCAAAACACGATGGTGCGCGACAAAAATGTTTTTCACATCAAACGATAGTGTCCTGTTCAAAACCATGCTTTTCCGGAGACGTCGAACAATTTTTCACTTTTGCCTCTACTTACTACTATTATGCCTATTCTAAATGTATACGATTTGTCTTCAAAACACGATGGTGCGCGACAAATATGTTATTCACATCAAATGATAGTGTCTTGTTCGAAACCATGCTTTTCCGGAGATGTCGAACTATTTTTCACTTTTGCCTCTATTTACTATTATTTTCCATGGCTATTTTAAATGTATATGATTTGGCTTCAAAACACGACGGTGCGCGACAAATATGTTATTCACATCAAATGGTACTGTTCTGTTCGAAACCATGCTTTTCCGGAGACGTCGAACAATTTTTCACTTTTGAATCTATTTACTACTATTTTCCATGGCTATTCTAAATGTATACAATTTTGTTTCAAAACACGATGTTGCGCGACAAATATGTTATTCACATCAAATGATAGTGTACTGTTCAAAACCATGCTTTTTCGGAGACGTTGAACAATTTTTCACTTTTCCTCTATTTACTACTATTTTCCATGAGTATTTTAAATGTATACGATTTTACTTCAAAATACGATAGTGCGCGACAAATATGTTATTCACATCAAATGATAGTGTCTTGTTCGAAACAATGCTTTTCCGGAGACGTCGAACTATTTTTCACTTTTGCCTCCATTTACTACTATTTTCCATGGCAATTCTAAATGTACACGATTATGCTTCAAAACACGATGGTGCGTGACAAATATGTTATTCACATCATATGAAAGTGTCATGTTCGAAACCATGCTTTTCCAGAGACGTCGAACAATTTTTTTACTTTTGCCTCTATTTACTACTATTTTCCATGGCAATTTTAAATGTATACGATTATGCTTCAAAACACGATGGTGCGCGACAAATATGTTATTCACATCATATGATAGTGTACTGTTTGAAACCATGCTTTTCCGGATACGTCGAACAATTTTTCACTTTTGCCTCTATTTACTACTATTTTCCATGGCTATTCTAAATGTATACGATTTGGCTTCAAAACACGATGGTGCGCGACAAATATGTTATTCACATCAAATGATAGTGTCTTGTTCGAAACCATACTTTTCCGGAGACGTCGAACTATTTTTCACTTTTGCCTCAGTTTACTACTATTTTCCATGGTTATTTTAAATGTATATGATTTGGCTTCAAAACACGACGGTGCGCGACAAATATGTTATTCACATCAAATGATAGTGTCCTGTTCGAAACCATTCTTTTCCGGAGACGTCGAACAATTTTTCACTTTTGCCTCTACTTACTACTATTATGCCTATTCTAAATGTATACGATTTGGCTTCATAACACGATGGTGCGCGACAAATATGTTATTCACATCAAATGATAGTGTTTTGTTCGAAACCATGCTTTTCCGGAGATGTTGAACTATTTTTCACTTTTGCTTCTATTTACTACTATTTTCCATGTCTATTTTAAATGTATATGATTTGGCTTCAAAACACGACGGTGCGCGACAAATATGTTATTCACATCAAATGGTACTGTTCTGTTCGAAACCATGCTTTTCCGGAGACGTCGAACAATTTTTCACTTTTGCNCNA